TGCTCAGGGCTCTCTTGCCTGGGTTCCAGTGGCCTTTCCTGCCTCGTTCTGGGGCTCCTCTTAACTCAAAGACTCTAAGCCGTAAGGGCCCCCAGAACTCAGTTGGTCTGGTGCTGTCTTTTGACCGAAGAGAGAACCGAAGCCCAGAGAGGGAGAGTGACTGACTCCAGGCCAAAGTAGGCTGGTGGCAAACTAGGGCCAGAGTTCGGGCTCCTGCCCCCTGTCCAGCACTTGCCCACTTCTTTCTCCTCTGGGCCCTGTCCTGCCCACCCAGGTCCCTTCCCCCAGCCCCCTCACCTACACTCACCCCCCCGGCTCCCGCTGCTTCCTCTCTCCTGCCTGCCCCACTCTCCACGCCCAGGCCGATGGCCAGACCCTGACGGACCCCTGTTGTCTCTTCCAACAGTGCCTGAGGCTCCTGTCATCGACACCCAGCGCACCTTTGCCTATGACCAAATCTTCCTGTGCTGGCGGCTGCCGCCCCACTCACCACCTGCCTGGCATTACACTGTTGAGTTCCGGCGCACAGATGTCCCCGCCCAGCCAGGCCCCGCACGCTGGCAGCGGCGGGAAGAGGTGAGGGGCACCAGCGCCCTCCTCGAGAACCCTGACACGGGCTCTGTGTACGTGCTGCGTGTCCGGGGCTGCAACAAGGCGGGTTATGGAGAATACAGTGAGGACGTGCACCTGCACACACCTCCAGCTCCCGGTGAGTAGCAGACGTGTGGCTTCATGCGGCAAGCTTAGACGTTCACGTGGAGGGTACAGAAGGGCCCAGGTGCTCAGCTGATTCCCAGTGGGCACAGGGAAAGCAAGTGAATGGAATTTGATTTATATAATTTGTACAGTTCAATGTGTGGGTTCCACTCATTTCCTCTGGAGCTAAACTGCCTGGGTTCAAAGCCCACCTTGGCTCCTGGGTGTCCTTAGTCACGATTTTTTTTTCTTCTCTGAACTTGAGAATCCTCTTTAACAGAGGTAATAATAATACTTAATAGAGTGGCTTGGTAATTAGCACATTATAAGATAGCACATGTAAAGACTTAGCTTCTGACTCATCGTAAGGGCTTAGAAGTGGCTTGCTGAGTGTGCTCACCACTTGGTAGAGGGCAAAAGAGACAAGGTTGGGTACAGGGGTCAGGTCTGAGTACCAGAGCGTGGGATGGAAGGTCCAGGTCAGAGGTGTTCGGAATGTGGCCAGATGGAACAGGACGACAGTGGAGATGGTCCACAGGGCCAACCGTGGAAAATGGGTTGCAGAAACACTGAGTCGACTGGAGATGGGACAGTGCTTTCTCTGCCCACTAGTCATCCCTGAAGCTCCTCCCGGGGTCCCATGCCTATTTGGGATGCCCCTTTCTTCCTGTGTCCCTACTTCAGTTCCCTGCGTCCTGTTCCTTTGGGCCCCTTCCGGTTCCTGGTGACTTGACCAACTTGTTCCCTGTGCCCATAACTCCCAGTGTTTGTGCTGACACCCCACGATCCCCAGCGCCAGTGTGTGTCCTGAAACCCTTCCTTCTGTCTTCACCTCCTCCTGCCTCTAGTCCTGCACTTCTTCCTCGATGGCCGCTGGGGTGCGAGCCGAGAGCGGCTAGCTATCAGCAAGGACCAGCGTGCCGTGCGGAGTATCCCGGGGCTTCCCTTGCTGCTGGCTGCCGAGCGGCTGCTCACAGGCTGCCACCTGAGTGTGGACGTGGTCCTGGGTGACGTGGCTGTGACGCAGGGCCGCAGCTACTGGGCCTGCGCAGTAGACCCTGCCTCCTACTTGGTCAAGGTGGGCGTCGGGCTGGAGAGCAAGCTTCAGGAAAGCTTCCAGGGTGCCCCGGATGTGATCAGCCCCAGGTCAGGCCCTTCTGCAAGGGGCGGTGGGGGGGGATGAAGCCCTGGGGAAGGAGCTGGGGTTGGCAAGGGTGGTGTAGGGAACACAGACTTGCTAAAGTGGGGCTGGGGAGGGGTCAGAGCGAGGAATCCAGACTGGGAGGCTTTCGGGTGGAAGAGATGTGGGCTCCGCAGGAGGGTCTGTGAGGACAGGTTTTGAGAGTGTATGGATGGATGGGGAAAGGGTTGAGAGAAGGCGGAGCCATCACCTCCTCCTTCCATCTGTCACTCAGGACCAGCATACTGCCTAAGCTCCCAGGTCCTTTCCCCCAGCACTTTATTTCCATGAAAAGTTGTCTCTCCCAGACCTCCTTCCCCTACCTCTTTCTCAGCATCTCAAAGTTCTTCCCCTAAACATATCTCCACAGCCCTCTTTACCTCCGTTGCCTCATTAATACATCTTCCCACGTTTCCCTCCTGAACCCCCCTCTCCCAAGTCCTCCATCCTTCAACATCCCATTTCTTCAAAAATGCCTTCTCCCCAACACGAATTCCCTCTGGAATTGTGTTGTCCCCGTTCCTGTATCCCTCTAGCATCCTGACACTAATCCGTCTTCATCTCTCTGCCAACGCCGTCTTCAAGCCAACACCCCTGCTCTGCCCCCGCCCGCCCCCACCCCGCCCCACATCTTAACGTCTGTGCTGCCATCCTTCCAGCATCCCCACCTGTCAACACTCCCCAAACTGACTCCCTGGCACCGTTTTTTCTCAGCACCCCTTCCATCCTGACAAGCCCCACAGTTCAATGTCGCCCATCTCTCCTTCCCCACAACACCTTTCTCACGTACTTTCCTTCCCTGACTTCTTTTTGTTTGTTTGTTTGTTTGGTTTTTTGAGACAGGGTTTCTCTGTGTAGTTTTGGTGCCTGTCCTGGATCTCGCTCTGTAGACCAGGCTGGCCTTGAACTCACAGAGATCCGCCTGCCTCTGCCTCCCGAGTGCTGGGATTAAAGGCATGCGCCACCACCACCACCACCACCCGGCTCCTTCTTTCTTACACAAACTGAAGCCTCAAGCCTTACACTGTAACCCTTGCCTCCTCAACATGTGTTCCCCTTAATACCTGCAACCTCTTGTTCGCCGACATTCCATCCTTCCAACATTTCAGCTCCCTGATCCCTCCCCTATCCCCTTCCTCTGCCTCCCAACATCCTCCTTCCCAATTCCCACCCCTGCAGATACGACCCAGACAGTGGGCATGACAGCGGTGCTGAGGATACCACAGTGGAAGCGTTACCACCCTTTGCATTCCTCACCATTGGCATGGGCAAGATCCTGCTGGGTTCCGGAGCAAGTTCAAATGCAGGGCTGACAGGGCGGGACGGCCCAGCAGCCAGCTGCACGGTGCCCCTGCCGCCCCGCCTGGGCATCTGCTTGGACTATGAGCGGGGGCGAGTTTCCTTCCTGGATGCCGTGTCCTTCCGTGGGCTCCTAGAGTGCCCCCTGGACTGCTCAGGGCCCGTGTGCCCTGCCTTCTGCTTCATTGGTGGTGGCGCTGTGCAGCTGCAAGAGCCTGTGGGTACCAAGCCTGAGAGGAAAGTCACCATCGGGGGCTTCGCCAAGCTGGACTGAGCCTGCCGGGCTCCCTCTCCAGACCTAAGCTCTGCTCCCCAAGCCTCCAGGCAGCGGGTTGTTCACGCAGCAGCTTCTCCCCCAGACTTTTCCTAACTGTGGTCCTTCCCTCGTACCTGCCAGCCATGTCTTCCCAGGGCTTCCCTTGACTAAGGGGCTCCCCTCTGCTTCTCTCTGGGTGTCCTCCATTCTCTGTGTTAACTGTTGGCCTGGGCCCCCAGGCCCACCAAGTCTCTGCCCTAGGCCCTGCCCTTGGCATCTTAACCAAGGCATAGAAAGCCCCTATCCCATTCCTGTCCTGTGCTCCTGAGGCTTATTGGGAGGGAGGGCGCCTGGAACAACGGGTGTGATTGACAGCTTTGCCCTTTGCCTTGCCAAGCTCCCTGCTCCATTGATGCCTTGGCAGCCAGGCTTTGAGCCTCCCCAGTGAGAGGGAGGAGAACCCACCATTTTATTCGGGTCCCTATACCCCCCCAACCGCATGCCCCTTGTGTCTCTTCCCGTCTCGCATGCTTTACCTATCCTGCACCCATGCCAATGTGCCAAGTCTCCCTTGGGAACCCGGCTGAGGCTGGTGTCCCCATTGGGTTGGGCCAAGCTAGGCCTCTGGTGCCTGCTGCTGCCTCCTTGCAGTGGGCATTGCTAGGCCTGTGCTGAGTAACAGCTGTACTTTTCATGGTTTATAAACAATAAACTGTGACACCGGGCACATTGCTGCTTTCCTGGAGTGTGACCATTCCTGGTAGTTTCCGGTCTGGTTGGCGTGATAATGGCACCCAGGGGACTGGAGGTCCCTACGTTAGGTGGGCACAGCCTCCTGCTACACCTAGGACCCAGGCCCCAGCTGACCCTCACCGCCGGGGAGGTGCGGCACGGGGTGCTAGTGTCACGCCCAACTTGGGCATCTGGACCACAGCTATGGCCCCTGCGGGGATGTGGCTGAGGGCATGGCATGGCGTCTGGGCTCAAAGGGGCCAGGGAACTAGAACCACTTCCTCATTCCCAGGGTGCCAGAGAGCCCACCCAGAGGCAGTGGCGGCAGCGGGCGGGATGGCAGAAGGCCAGGGCCTGGTGCCAGTGGCACCCGGATCTGTCCCAGCCCTGGCTTATCATGGCTGTGTTGACTCTTCCACTGTTATCTGTAGTCCAAGGATTTGCTTCACACCTGGACAACTAAGAATAGAGCTGCCTTAGAGGCACGGTGCCAGCCGGAGAGGGGCATGGGCTGGTCCAGAAGAGACAGTCACTGGCGCGGACTGAGGCCAGGTCAGGGGCAGGCCCACTGGAGCCTGTCTAGGTTTCGTTTCCTCCTTCCTTCAGGGCCGTCGGGCATGGGAGGGAGGTGATTTCTGGGTTCTTTCTCAGGCCACCTCTGTCTCCGTGTCACCTCTTCCTCATACCCCCCCCCCTTTTTATTTCAAGTGTACCGGCCCCTCCCTGCCTCCTCGCCTTCTGTCTTCATCCAAAGATCCCTACCAGGCCCCTCCCTCACAGACGTGTCCTGGCCCCTCTGATCATGAGCTGCGGATGAAGAATCACAGTTGGCCGAACTAACTGGGCGCCACCTTTTATTCAGCCATGCTTGGGTTTCCATCCCCATCTCCAGGGTTTCTAGGCCAGTCCTTCTGAGACCCACTGCTGCATCGCTGCCCCAGGGTATCCCCCGGGGCAGGGCTGGGCTTCACCAGACTAAGATGGTTGAGACACTCGACAGAGTCTCAGGAAGGCTGTGAGCTGCCCACCAGAACTCCGGCTCACCAGCCCAGATCAGAGTGCAGGGGTCTGGCAGTGAAAACGGGGAGCAGATGGCCGCCACCGCCGTCCTGTCCCCGAGCTGGTGACTTGCCCCTACAAGTTGGCGGACGTGGTTGCCACTGCCGGGTTGCTGTAAGACAGGCTGCTGCCCCCATTACCTGCAGAAACCTGAGTGGAGGGAAAATAAATTCAGGGTGAAAGAGTCTATCAGGCAGAACCCCCGGAGGGCACCCCAGGCTATGGGCCTGGCAAGCTCTCAAGGAGTTAATTCAGAGTGGCACCTGCTGGGCCTCAGAGCGGCCAGGTGACTGTAAACACACAACTCCACTGCTCGCTCCCTCCCTCCCCTCCGCTCCTCTTGTAGGCCCCTCCTGGCCCTTTCTCCTTTTATCTTTTTATCCTCTGGCCCAAAGGACTGTATATGTGTGTGTGTGTGTGTGTGTGTGTGTGTGTGTGTGTGTGTAGATCTCTAGGAGGTGGAAAATGGGGCAAGAAAAGGAAGCTCTTGTCTCTTTCCCACCCTCTGGCCTTTCAGTCTCAGGTGGCCACAGTAATTATTTACTAGATCCTGTAGAGAAACCGAATGAGGGAAGAGGGAGGGGCCCTTGCTCTCCTAAAACTCCCAAGAGCCCTCTCTGCACACTCCTCTCACTAGAGGAGACTTCTTTTCCACCAAAGCTCTCTCCCACCCCCAGTGCAGCTGTCTGTATCTACTGCCCAACCCCTAGGAGGTGAGCGGGACAGGAATGCTCACTCCTCCTTCAGGCAGGGCTCCCCTGGACACAGTATCCCCTCACTTCACCCCGGGGCATCCTAATGAGCACACTCTGGTACAGTTCAGAGTTGAGTCAGCAGCGGTAGATGGCAAGGCTTTGTTAGTACAGATGCTTCCTTTCTTCTGTAGCCCCCTAAGGTCTGACCCCGCCCCCCAAGCTCTACCTCCATTCCCCGCCTTGCCAGGCCCTTCCCTGCTCACCTCTCTGAAGTACCTTGGGTTTCCCAAGTACCTCTCCAGAAACCCTCACCAAGCCAGGGCCCTTGCCCCAACCTGTGGGACACCGATTTACCTCATAGGGGTTACGTTTGGTACTGCCAGGCGGCACATAGCGTCCATGAGTGTGGTAGGTGGGATATTCACTCATAGGATGGTAGGTGTCCTGGGTGGGAAAGATGTCCAGATGCCCATAGTTCTTTCGGCGGCACTGACACACTGCCTGAGGAGACAGGAAGTTATGCTGGCCCATGGGTTCCCACCTACCCTACGGGGCCCATTGGTGAAGGCCTGAGACTTACCAGTGCAATGAGATAGGTAATGGCCAAAGCAACCAAGATACAGACCAGCACCAGCAGGGCAATACCCCAGCCTGGTACGCCAGGCCAAGACTGGGCAGAAGGAGGGAACTGCATCTCATTCACTGAAAGGGAGAACAGTGGTCAGGGAAGTCCCCCAAAGGAGGTGGGCTCGACCCTGCCAGCACCACAGTTAGCAGGGCGCTGGAGTTGGGGATATTGCCTCACCATTGACTTTTGAAATAGCCAGATTATAGTCTCCTGCCTCCTTTTCATGCTGTAAAAGCTGCGACTTCACCTCAGAGGCACTGACAGCACCCTCCCGGAAAATCACAGTCGATTCTACCGCCACCGAGCCTGGTCTGGTCACAGGAAATGGGCAGCTCAGCCAGAGGTATCTGCTTCTGGCTCAGCATCTCCTCCCCACATCACAAAGTCATGAGTGTCCATCCCACCCTGAGTCACAGCCAGACCGTACCTGAACTGGATGGTAGAGATCCCCAGAAAACCTTGGTTAAAAATCTGCAGAAACTGGGATAAGAGGAGAAGACTCAGGTTTGATGCAGACATTTATGCCGCCCTGAAGAGCGCCTTCAGAAGAGCATGGCAGAGGCCAGGCTGATACCCACCAATCCAGAAATGTTCCTCTTCAGTTCTTGATAGTAGTTGGAGCTGGGATCTTCCAGGGAGGAATTAAACTGTTGGTTCCAAATGTGGAAAGACAACAAGAAGAAAGAGACCCCAACAGACACCTGGGGAGAACTATCACTGGAGGGGGTAGGGAAAAGTACTGTGCTATAGTAAGTACTATAGGCAATAGTGCCGTTCCTGGAGATGGCGAGGGTGGTGGAAGTAACGGGGGGCTGGCTTGGGCCTGAAGATTGAGTGCCATTGCCAACTGGAGTTGTAGTAGCCATTGTAGAGATGTTATTGTGGATTGGAGTGGTGAGTGAGCCCAACACAGAGCTGGTAGTTGGCACCGAGGAGCCATTGTGGACTGAAGTAGCCTTGGTAGTAGAGACAGAGGTGCCACTGTACACTGGAGTGGTGGCCAAGTCTGATTCAGAGCTATTAGTTGTAGATGAGGAACTACTGTGGGCTGGACTAGTGACTAAGCCCAATGTAGAGCTGGTCATTGGGACCAAGGAGTCATTGTGGATTGGAGTGGTAGCTGAGCCTGATATAGCCTTGGTGGTTTGGATGGATGAACCAGTGTGGACCGGAGTGGTGGCTGAGTCCACTGTAGAGCTGGTGGCTGGGGCTGAGGAACCAGTGTGGACTGGAGTTGTAGCTGAGTCCACTGTAGAGCTGGTGGCTGGGGCAGAGGAACCAGTGTGGACCGGAGTGGTGGCCGAGTCCACTGTAGAGCTGGTGACTGGGGCTGAGGAACCAGTGTGGACTGGAGTTGTAGCTGAGTCCACTGTAGAGCTGGTGGCTGGGGCAGAGGAACCAGTGTGGACGGGAGTGGTGGCCGAGTCCACTGTAGAGCTGGTGGCTGGGGCTGAGGCACCAGTGTGGACCGGAGTGGTGGCCGAGTCCACTGTAGAGCTGGTGGCTGGGGCTGAGGCACCAGTGTGGACCGGAGTGGCGGATGAGTCCACTGTAGAGCTGGTGACTGGGGCTGAGGAACTAGTGTGGACCGGAGTGGTGGCCGAGTCCACTGTAGAGCTGGTGGTTGGGGCTGAGGAACCAGTGTGGACCGGAGTGGTGGCTGAGTCCACTGTAGAGCTGGTGGCTGGGGCTGAGGAACCAGTGTGGACCAGAGTGGTGGCCGAGTCCACTGCAGAGCTGGTGGCTGGGGCTGAGGAACTAGTGTGGACCGGAGTGGTGGCCGAGTCCACTGTAGAGTTATCAGCTGGGGTAGAGACACCAGTGTGGACCGGAGTGGTGGCTGAGTCCACTGTAGAGCTGGTGGCTGGGGCAGAGGCTGGCGTGGTAGTCAAGGTTGAGAAACTCTTGTTGTCCTGAGATAAGGCGACTCTGTGTTTATCTGGAAGGGCAAGAAAGCCTGAACCAGAGTTGAAGGTGGGAAGTAGACGTTTTATGCTCACACATCTCTCAACAGAGGTGGACACTAGGTTGCTTTGGGTAACCTGTATGATTTTTTGGCTCTGGCTAGAGCCAGAAATTGTAAAAACTCTGGGTTGGTGAATAAAATCAGAACAAGGAGAAAAATATAAACTCCGAAACCAAAGTAACCGCAGAAGGAAGGGGGGTCAGTTTAGCGTCAGGCAGCCCCTGGTCTACCTTCTTCCTTGCTGACACCTCCACGTCGCTACTCTCTCCCTCCCTGAAAGACTCACCTCGGCTTCTGGGTCATCCATTCCTCCACTATTTATTTTTGAGACAAGGATTCACACTGTAGCCCCGGCTGGCCGTGACCTAACCACTGCACATGGCCCCATTCTTCCACTACTGGGTTACCTCTCCTGACACAGCCCACCCTCTCCACTCCCCACAAGCATCAGAACGTTTGCCTACTGTGGTGCCCACTCTCCTGGGGGTCACCTCTTCTCAGCTCCCGTCCTTCGCCTCTTTCACTCTGGCGCCTACTGGCTCACCCTTGTCTGCCACTTAGGGCTCTTGTAGTGCCATCTACCAGGAAGCAAAATCCACAGCAGGGTGAGGAGTCCCACCTGAACAGTGCAGGCCTTTCCCACCGCGTGCCTCTCACCTGGTACAATTGCTAGAAGCAGCATCAGGAAGAAAGGAGCCCGGATGCCTGGAGTCATGGTGGCAGTGAACAGGCGGGAAAGGGGGCAGAGATGGACTCGGGTGCTGCGTGTGCGCGGTGCAGCTCTGGTGCCCGCTGCTTTATACCAGTACCCCTCCCGCCCTAGGCACAGCTAGAGCAGGTGACAGGTAGCAAAACTCCGCCCCCTCCCCTAGCTTTTCCTCCTCCTCCCCAGTCATTCCTGTGTAGGGTACTTGGGCTCCAATCACTCAACCTCATGACAACCTGTTTATTCTCCAATTGGCCTCCCCTTTTTACCAACCACTCCTTGACTTCCCCAGGCGTGTATGTGGAGGAAACCTGGGGCCCCCTGGCTCTGGTTTTAGCCCCAGAGCAACAGCTAAGGTGAGGAAATGGAGCGCAGAAAGGCCCTGGACAAGGAGCCCGGGGAAAGTCCATCCCTAGATCCCCCAATCCCTTTCCCTATTCTCTCTGAAGGTCCTTGAAACCGCTTTCCATAGGTTGAGAGGACACAAGGGGGTTGGATAATAGCGGACAGGTCACTAGTTTCAGCCACCCCCCCCCCCCCCACTTCCCGGAATAGCCCCACCCTTCTAACCGCTCCCTGTACTCTGAAAACCACAGTCTCCGCCCCTGCCAGACTTTCCAGTAGCCTGGGTCCCTCTTTGGCTTGCTCCCGAGAAAGGCGGTGGGGGGAAATTTCCACTTAAAAAGGACGAAACTTGGGCTCTACCGAAGCCTAAGGTTCTTCCTACCCAACTTTCCACTTTGAGTGGCAGGCTGGCCGGTCCTTCTGGCCAGGAACGCCTGCCCTCTAGTGGTCACCGGGAGCGTCGCGCGGCCGACCCACACGGGCCGAGTGGGGAGGTTTGATAGCACAGTCCAAGTTGAGACTGAGATCTTAGGGAAGTTGGTTGGGCCTTGACGAAAGGGATCAATGCCCAGGACAGATAGGAAGGAATGCACAGTGCGGTGGAGGAGCAAGGATCAGTAGTACTTGGGTTACTCAGACTTCTGGGGATGGTGTCTGGGGGGGAGGGGAATGATGCTAAGTGGGCGGGGCCCCAAGGTACGTGGAAGGGGGGCATTAAATTGTGTGAGGAGGACATCGGAATGTGGGAGGGGGAGTGGGACAGGTTGTGTGCAGTCAGCTAGGTATTTAGGAGGCAGAGAGTAGGTGGGGCGACCATGGAATTTGGGAGCACAGAGCTGTATTTGGGAGAGGAACGATATTTGGGGCGGACAGGCACGTGGTGCAGGGCAAACTCATGTATGTGTATTTAGGGAGAACCGAGAGATATTCTGAAGGGCAGAAATAGCTGGGCACCGGGGGGGGGGGGGGGGGGGCTTTGGGTTCACAGCAGCATGTGGACTGAGGGTACCAGGCCAGATCCTGCAGGTGTAGGTTGCAGAGTAAACCAGCAGGAGCAGTTACAACTACAGTAGACAAACAATTCTTAGTCCCAAGGAATACAAAACGGAAGCTAATACTTTAGAAACATTTCAGAGGTGCATGAACCAAGGCGTGCAAACCACGCTCCCGCCGTGTGTCGCGCCTCGGAGCGACTTAGTGAGGCCGGCTCCTGGCGGAGTGGGGACGCCCTACGTCAGCCTGCCTACAAGTGTTTAGGTGGGCGGCACCAAACCTCAACTCCTGGGATTGCTAGGCAACAGCCATTCAATTCGGTTGCTGGGACACGGGTCACCATGGTAATAGCTCCGCGCCTCTCAGTCTGAGTATTTAAAGAGCAAGCGCGCGCACTGCTTCGGCGTCGGAAAGTGGCCTTCCAGGGCACGGGGGCTCCCCTTCTCTCTTCCCCCTTTCCCCCTCGCCCTCCCTTTCACCCTTCCGGGCGCCCAGGCTCTGGTGTACCTCTAAGGTGACCCCAGCTCCCCAGAGCGCCCCCAGTCCCTGGGCTCCAAAGGCCCAGGTGGTAGGGAGCGGGATTCCGGGGCCCCGGGCGGGCGGGAGGGACGGGACGCGGTGCAGTGTTGTTCTTTGCCCACCAATATTGCACTCGTCCCGGCCTCCGGCCCCCTCGGCCCCCCCGGCGCCCCTCACCCCGAGCGGGGCAGCCCTGGCCCTGGGCTTTCGACCCCTGCGGAGCTTAGACTGAAGTGTCGCCGCTGCCACGGTGAGTAAGTGGGGCTGGAAGGACGTTAGCCATCCTCCAACCTCGTCCTGCATTCGGTATTTTTCCCACCCACACTTCAACTCAGTCAAACTCTCCCTAGCTCTCTAACCTACAGCTCCCCGCCTTTCTCACCACTCAGGTTCCTTTCTGTCCTAGAAAAGGCCTAAAATAAGTAATTGCACTGACTTAGAAAATAACTGAAACTTTATGGCAACGTGCTGATGTCTCTCCTGGGGTTAGTACCTGAGTAATACCCCTTGAAAGTCCCCCAACCCCTGCACAATGGGGTCACTACCCCTCCGGGGCTGAGCTCCCTGATGGGTACCAGAGAACCATCTGTGGAGGCTGAGGGGGCTGTAGGTGAGACCCCAGGGTCTCCAGAAGAGAGCCCAAGGTCAAAGGTCTCCAGTCAGGATTCTGAATCCGGTGGCCGCCTCCTCACACCCGTCCTTGAAGCAGTTGCCTCCGGAATGGCTCAAAGTCCTCAGGCACTGTGTCTGAAGAGGGGAAATAAGTCACGTCAGAGGATGAGGGTTTCCCAGGGCACGGGTCAAGCTGCTCTCGGCCTAAAGCCTCACCGTTGCATCGATACTGGAGATTGGACCAAATGATGTTTTCTTGGGAGAAGCAGAATACACCGAGGCGCCCCCCTCGCATGGACGTGTCAATGATCACCCCAGAATCCGCCACTAGCTGGGGACCCTCATAGAGCTTCACCCTGTCCAGGATAGAGGTGTTGTTGGTGGGCCTGGTGCCACCATGTCCTGGGGTTTCGTGGGCTCCCCCCACCCTGTGCACACTAGTCCTGAGGGAGGGGAGGGAGGCCGAGGGGAGGGAGGGGTGCTTTTTCTCAGGCCTTGGGCCCCTAGCTCTTTGTCCGGCCCCTTTTGCATCTCAAAGCACCAGCACATTCCTAGCAAGGATTGGGTTGCTATGACAATGAGCACAAAGGGCTGGGGGTGAAGTCACCCGCTTCCCAGGCTCCAGTCCACACCCCCCCTTTATCCTCTGCCCTGGCGCCCCACCGCTCTAGCTACCTTAAAGAGAAACCAACTCAGCCCCCAGGCTCTTGGCCACAGGAAGTCCAGCTCCTAGGCAGATCCCTGTCCCTTCCCTTCTCAGGTCATTCTCACCAACTAGGGACACTTGTAGGAGGGAAAGATCAGGGTTGGGAACAAAACGCCAAACTGAGAGGCCCGTAAACTGCGGGCCTCAGTCTGCTCTTCTGTAAGCCATGGTCCCTTTCCAAAGTCAGCTGCTGCTGGAGCAAGTTCGGCACGCCTAAGGGGCTGGAAGCCCTGCGCTCTTCCACAGACTGCCTGGGGCCCAGAAGCTCCCAGAGAACCGAAAGGCATCTGGCTCAACACCTGGACTTAGAAGGGAAATTGGGTGCAAACGAACGGTGTGCCCAACACCACCTCCTCTGTGCTGAGATGGGAAATGGAAGGAACTGTCTGCAAACCCTACCCGTGGCACCAAGACATTCAGCAGAGGGAAGGTCACAGTGACTGAGTCCCTCCCTGCTAGCGAGAGGGCAGAGGAGGTTGGGGTCTCGCCCCACCCCCTCCCCCAGGGCTCAAACCCTTTCCATACCGAATGTAGCCAACTTGGGGGCGGTGGAGTAGCTGCCATCTATAAGATGTCTTGTCACGCCAACCCACATTTCTTGGATCAGTCCACAGCAGTCGTACCTGATCAGGGGTGTGGCCGGTATGCCACAGAGCATTTCGGAGGTGCTCACCTGGGCCAGATATTGATGTCACTGCCTGGGAGTTATTGACAAAGTCAGTGTGTCAACCACAGGACCAGGGTGAGGAGAGACAAAAGATGGTAAGAGCTGGTGAGAAAGGGAGTCAAAGGGATCCGGAGAATTCTCTGGAATCCCACATAGCTGATGTCCAGACACCATGTCTAGGTGAAATTTCCTAGTCAGGCAGTGGGGCCCCTAAGGTTGGACAGAAACAGCTTTAGCAAAGCCAGTGGGTTGGGGGAAATTGGGCAGCTGGGGTACCTTGAGCTGCAGCCCTGGTTGGGCCACTGCTCGGAAAGGCGTGGCCTGCCAGTAGGTCTGCTCCGTCTGTTTCCACATGACCACATAGAAGCGGCCACTGTCCTGGTAACTGAAGAGGAAACCTGCGTAGTCATCATCAGTGACCGTGTTCACATGGAAAGTGCCTTCAAAGTCCACACCATTGAAGGCTGTGTATCCTGGGGCGGCAGCGGGATAAACGTTAGGGCCATTTAAAGCTACTTGATCGCCCATGGTGGGGTGAGTATTGGGGGCAGAGATGCCTATTGTATGTAGGGCCAGAGACTTGAGGTAAGGCCCCGCCCATCCTCCCCATCTGGCTCTTTCCCTACCCTCTATAGGAGCCTTCCCTTTGGAGATTACTGGGTTGGATGTCCCTTACATACCAACTGCAAGACCTGGGTCACTGTTCATAGTCTGAACAATTTCCATGCCCTGGGGTTGTTAAGGAAAGAAAGAAAGAAAACAAAAAACAAAACAAAACAAAAAAGCCCTGATCCAGGTGCACAATGCCACCCAGGTACCAATAGGTCTGGTCCGACAGCACCTGCCCAGCCTACTGCCCCGCATACCTGATTGAGCACTACCCAGTTTGGATCAATCTGAGCATCACCCTCAGGATCCAGAACCACAGTCTGATAGGCCCGGAAGTCTGTGAGGGTAACTTCTGCACTTTCCGGACACACATCCAGAGGGTCAGCCACTGCATCATTGTCAAAGTCATCCTCACACACATCACCAACACCGTTGCCTGGGTGGAGTGAGGCTAGGTACTCAGGCCCTGCCCACTGTCACCACTGGGATTTTCCACTCCTGACCCCTCCCCACCCTCCCATCCCTCACTCCCTTCAGTTAGGCCTGAAGGAAGCCCATACCGGTTGAACCATCTCTGGGACCCCAGCCTTACCATCTGAGTCTTTCTGATTAGGGTTGGGTACCAGACGACAGTTATCAGGCCCAGGAGGCACATAGTCTGGGACACCGTCATTGTCATCATCCCCATCACATTCATCTCCAAGTCCATCGTTGTCTGAGTCCAGCTGAGAGCTATTTGGCAGCTGGGGACAGTTGTCCTTGGTGTCCTGATGTCCGTCTCCATCACTGCTCAGAGGAAAAAGCCACAAATACCAGCTGAAAATGTAGGTCCCATCTTTTCCTTATCTTCTGTGGGCGTTCTGGGGCCTGCCTACCCTCCAACCTTGTCCCCTCGCCACTATCCAGAGGAGATGAAAATCCAGCGGTAGGGGTGGAGGGTAGACTGTGAGAATGACCTCCTGCTTAGTGGGGGCAGTGAATTAAGGCTGCATCACAGAGGAGACCTTGGCTCTCTTGGCCCAGACCCTACCTGTCCTCATTGGTGTCACAGACATCCCCCACCAGGTCGCTGTCTGCATCTGTCTGAGAGAGGGGTCTGATCTCACCATCTCCCGAGAACTCCGGAGAGGGTGATCTCACCTCTTATTTAAGGGCCTCCCCCACCGAGCCCCCACCCTCCCTCACCCCCGACACTCCCCTGTACCTGGGTAGGATTGCTCATTTCCGGACAGCTGTCACAAGCGTCTCCCACTCCATCTTTGTCCCGGTCTGTCTGAAGTGGGTTGGGTACTTTAGGGCAATTGTCCAATCCGTTGGGGATGCCTGGTAGATCGAGATGTTAGAGAGAGAGGGCCGTTAGGAACTCCGCAGCGCCCTTCTCTGCTGGCGGAAGCCCGGAGCTTTATCAGGAAACCTGCCTGTCCCCATGTGGCTCGCTTACACCTTGTCTAACCCCCTCAAGTTCTCAGCCCAGGGTCTCCAAGCCGACTTCCCCAACTGCCACTGGCTTCCAGCCTCCTGGCCTCCCTATGGGTCTCCCAGCCGTCCCCTCGGCCCCAGGCCTGCACCGTCTCCGTCCACATCGTTGTCACAGGCATCTCCTTCCCCGTTGCCATCTGTGTCCTTCTGGTCATTGTTGGGGACATTGGGACAGTTGTCACAGGCATCTCCAAATGAGTCTGTGTCTGAATTCTGCTGGTCCTTGTTGGGGAACAGTCGGCAATTGTCCTGGGCAAGGAGGAGGAGAAGGGTCAGAAATCCCCACACTTCCTTTGTCCCCGCCCCCCCCCCCCCCAACCTCCATACGGTCCATCTTTTCTAGACACCAGGTACGGGGCTCCACAATTCATGTTGTAGAGACTTTTCCTGGGAAATTTATTGCCCAGGGCCGAGCAGAGACAGGATAATGGGATTCAGCAACAGAGACTATAACATGGAGAGAGCACAGGACTGAGAGGGGCCAGGCCTCCTTTGACTTGAGAGGTTGTTGTTGTTGTGGTTGTTGTGGTGGTTCTGTTGTTAGTGTGTTTTGAGACAAGGCCTCACTATGTAGCCTTTATTGGCCTGGAACGCAGCTATGTAGCCCAGGCTGGCCTTGAACTCACAGGTGCCCGCCTGCCTCCACCTCTGAGTACTGGGATTAAAGGCGTGCGCCCCCGTGCCTGGCCTGGTTCCTATTTCGTTTTCACTCGCCTCTGCCCTTTTTCTTACACGGACTTATTTATTTAGTGTATGTCTGTGGCACACAAGCACCACTGTGCCTATATGGAAGTCAGAGGACACCTGTAGCAAAAAATTCTCTCTTCCCACTCTGTGGGTTCCAGGGATCGAACTCAGGTCACCAGGCTTGGTGGCAGGTGCCTTTACCTGCTGAGCCATCACGCTGGCCTTGTTTGGTTTTGAGAGACAGGGTCTCATTCTGTAGCCCAGGCTGACCTCCATCTTGCAATGATCCTCCTGCCTCCATCTCCTAAGTGCTGGGATTACAAGCACATGCCACCGTTGCAACTCGACCTCAAAGTTCTTTTTTTTTTTTTTTTATGTTCATTTTTATTTTCTGTGTATGGGTGTTTTGCCTGAATACCTGTCTGTGCATCACATTCATGCAGTGCCTATGGAGGCCAGGAGTGGAACTGGAGCTACAGATGGTTGTGAGCCATCATGGGGGTGCTGGGAACTGATCCCGGGTATCCTGCAGGAGCAACACGTGCTCCTAACCACTG